TGCCCACCCTCCGCTCCCACTCCCCAGTTTGAAAATGGGCTTGTGGCAGTTTAGCTACATTACAGTTTGACCTGAGGATAAGGGTTATGTAGAGGAACTAAAGATAGAACAAAACCCCTAAACCCTTGTGGAGATCAGATAGAGAACATATCTCACAACATCATATTCTTCCCTCCAGGTAGGGTTGACAGAATTCAGTTAAGCAGTGGGCTATCAGCTGGTATTACAGAGAAAGGCTGCTGTGGGGAAGCCCCTCACATGTCTGGTGTCACTACGTTAGGAGGATGGGAGTAGTGTGAGGAGGAGGAGCGGTGTGGAGACTGGTCTTTCCAACTACATTCTAGAAAATGAATTTTGGGATCATTTGTTGAAATTCCCTTAAATGAACTTGGGCTGTGGCCTTGGAATTGGAGATGTTTTTAAAATCCCAGGTGACTGTAACAGGCAGCCCAGATTGGGTCAGGGAGACAAATTCCAGTCTGGGACTCAGACCTGAGACTTGTCTGGTGCTGCCTGGGCAGTGAGGGCTTCACATGCTTAAGGGAAGAGAGGAAGGAGTGGGGGGTTTGGGGGAACAGCATTGAGTAGGAACAGGGGAGACCACACTCACTCTACATATCAACTGTTACTTCAGAAAGAAGTTGCTGCCTCTGGGCTGCTAGACTGTGCAGAGGGCCTTGTCCTCAGGCTGTGCTAGCAGAGGCTTAAACAGCAGGAGAAAAGACAACCAGAGCTTGACAATGCTGAACTGGCACCTCAAAAGGCAATGGGAACTGGGTGAAGAAGACGGGCCTTCCCCCTCTCTCATCAGTGCTCTTGCTTCAGGGTAACTCTTGGGTCAGGGCAAAGGGCACTTGGCAACCAACAAAAAAAGAAGAGAGTGGCTATGAGATCGTGCAGGATACAGTGATATTGCAGGGTGGTTCACAGCAATCCAGACTCAATCAATCAATAAGAAAAATCTCAAATAAGCAATCTTCCTTACATTGGAAGGAACCAGAAAAAGATGGAATGAATCCAAAAAGAAGGAAACAATAAAAACAGAGCATAAATAAATAAAATAGAAACAAAAGATGGTACAAGAATTCAATGAAACCGAGAGTTGTTGTTTTTTTTTTTTAAAGGACAAATAAATGGACGACCTCTGCTCAGCTCAGTAAGAGAAAGCCTTAAGGAAAAGTCAGAAATGAAAGCGGTAGAGTCACAACAGATACTGCAGAAATACACAGGATCATGTGAAACACTAGGGACATCATTATGCGACAAATAGACCATGAAGGAAAAACGGACACCTTTTTAGAAACCTACAACTTCCAAGACTGAGCCAGGACAGAACAGACAGCTTGACAGACCTCACCAATACAGAACTGAGTCAGTAACCAACTGGTACTTTGTATTAGGAAAGTCATGGAATCAACCCAAATGCCCAAAAGCAGATGACTGGATTAAAAAGATGTGGTACATTTACACAATTGAATATTACTCAGCAATCCAAAAAGATAAACTCATGCCTTTCACAGCAACATGGGTGGAGATGGAAGGGAGCATGCTTAATGAAATAAGCCAGAAAGAAAAAGAAAAATACCAGATGGTTTCACTCATAGCAGGAGTATAAAGGATGGGACTGGGGGGGAGAAACAATAAACAACTATATACCAGAGACATTTTATGGGAGTGGAGTGGGGAATGGGATCAGAATGGGGGGGGGAGGTGCAGGTGTGGAGAGCAAGGGACTATGGCAAAGGCACAAGGGTGATTTAGTGGTAGGAAGCCTACAGGGATTACAAGTGAGATGGAAAAAGGCACAAAAAGATGTAAAAATAAACTGTTGTAAAATTTAAAAAAAATAAATAAATAAAGAGCAGTAGCAGGGGCCCTATGCCCATGTCACAGGATGTCACCTCTCTGGAAGAGGTGGCGGGGTATTGTCCTGGCCAAGAGAACGGGCTCCCTTGTCCCCGCCCCTCCCCCATGCGCCAAGTCTCAGAGCCTTAGCTGAGTCTCCCAGCAGGCCCTGAGCTGCCCGCAGGGCCAGGGGGAGAGCAAGGAGCAAGGCCATGGCTATGGGTGGTGTGAGAGGACAACATGGGAGGGCACCTCATGTCCTCGGGTTGGTAGTTTGGGGAACGTCCTGGGGGCAGGACACTGGCAGCTCCTTCCTGAGCCTCAACCAAACTGTTGATTATTTTTTTCTCCTTCCACAAAGTGCTTTGGACTCTTTCTCTGGCTTGCCTTAGAACTTGGCCTGTTTGCCCTGATATTTGTCGACAGGGATTTGGGTAATTTCAAGTTAAATTGGGAATAGCTCTCCTCTTCTGTGCATTAATTTTTTTATATAAAAATCATTAGATCATTGCCCTCCCTGGTGGTTAAAAGGCACAGCACTATGAAGCTACCACAGCTACTGCAGCATGAGTTCAATCCCTGGCCCGGGAGCTGACCCACATGGCACAGCAGACCACTCCTGACCCACCAGCTGCTCCCCTCAGCAGTGTGTTTCAGTACATCTACCTGTTCTGCTTACCGCTCTGTCTCTTGTGAATCATCTCACACCCCACATATGTGATCTGTACCCCAGTTCTGTATGCACAAATAAATAAATCTTTAAAAAATCATTGGATCAGATCATATTTGCTTTGAAGCAGATACATATTTGAACAAGTCACCATTCAACTTAAGATTTAACTCCGAGACAGGTGAACGACCCTGATATGTGGGCGCTGATCCAGCATGTCCAGAATTTCTGCTTTGCCCCTAGAGTGAGCTGACCCCTCCAGCACAGGTGCCCTCTCCCCTCCCCCCAGGGTCACCAACTCAGGGCACGTCCAACCACCACCCCCAGGAGTCTCTGGTGTCCAAAGCTGCTCCCTCGTCCTCCACTTCTGGATTCCAAGATGGAGGCCGCCAGTGAGGCCAAGGTGAGGACCAGAAAGAGCAAGTGCGGTGAGACCTACATGGAGCCCCAATCCAGGTGAGCCTGCTTTACAGGGAGGGGAGGGAGGACTTTGGGGAGAGAATAAATGAAATAAAAGTAATTCTGGCTAAGAACTTAATATATGTAGACCCTGGAGGTTCCTTTACACATCCACACCCCAACGTACAACATCCCACACCCTAAATACAGACCAGATCGCCATCCCACACCAGGGACACAGCCCCTCTCACCTGCTGGTCTTCTCTTCACACAGATGCCCTAGGGCCATGATTCCAATACTAAATAGGAAAAGCACAGTTGCAACATTTAGCATTAATAAGACAAAGACAGAGCTGGGCTTGCTGGAGGAATGACCTGCCTAGAGCCAGGGGCCACTGACACAGGCTCAGGGAATGATGAGGCAATGGCAGCTGAGTTGGTCACCCAGTGCCTGGAGAAGGGCTGCCAGGAGGGAGCAGAGAGCACAGCCCACAGGCTGGGAGCACGGGGAGCAGCCCAGACTCACAGCCAGGGAAGGGGGAGCCATGGGAGTTTGCTTCTGGGGCCCAGCAGCAGGAGGGGCAGTGCTGGGAGCCAGGAGCCCTGGCTGTGCAGAGACGAGTCGCGGGCAGGGCCGGTCACTGACCCGTCTGAGGCTAGAGCGGCTCCTGTGTCAAGCAGGGGTGACAGCAGACCAGGGGTGTCAGGGGTGGCACAGGCACCTCCCCCAACCTAGCACCCTCCTCAGAGGCAGCTGCTCAAGCACCTCCCTCCTGAGACGTTTATCTGAGGCCTGTGGGCAGAGGCTGCCAATGGGGGCAGGTGCACGAGCTGGAACCCACCTTCCCCCTCTGATGGTCCCACAGCCCCTCTCATGCCTTGAGTTAAAGAAAGACATCCCAGGGCCCTCCCTGGTGGCGCAGCGTGTTAAAGCATTGCACTAAGAAGCTGAAGCCACTTCCGCATGAGTTCAATTCCCGCCTGCCCCGGAGGTGACCACATGGCGCGGCAGACCTCTCCTGACCCGCCCGCTGCTCCCCTCAGCAGTGTGCTTTGTCGATCTGCCTTTTCTGCTCCCCACTCTGTCTCTGGTGAATCCTCTCACCCTCCGCATCTCTGGCCTGTACCCCAGTTCTGTATAAATAAATAAATCTTTAAAAAAAAAAAAAAAGACATCCCAGTCTCTGACTTGGTACCAGCTCACTCAAACATAAAGGACAATGTCCCAGACAGGATCTCATGATCTCATTTAAAAATGTTAACAGTGGCCCTCCCTGGTGGCGCAGCGGGTTAAAGCGCAGCACTGAGAATCTGAAGCCACTTCCGCATGAGTTCGATTCCCGCCTGCTGCCTGCCCCGGAGGAGACCACATGGCGTGGCAGACCTCTCCTGGCCCGCCCGCTGCTCCCCTCAGCAGTGTACTTCGTCGATCTGCCTGTTCTGCTCCCCACTCTGTCTCTGGTGAAGCCTCTCACCGTCCCTGAGCCTCTGGCCTGTACCCCAGTTCTGTATGAATAAATAAATAAATCTTTAAAAAAAAAAAATGTTAACAGTTCCCTCATGAGATGAGTTTCCAACACCACATATGATTCTCAGCACAGGGTCACCCCTCTCTTGATATACATTACTAACCACACACCCCCACCTGGGCACCCACATCCCACAGCTTCCTTCTGTCTTCAACAGCCCAATCTTAAAATTTCCTCCTGGCTTCAAGGAATCTCTAGGGGAAAAGTCTCTGAGGTCCCTGAAGGCCCAGCTAGAGGAGCAGGCACCTGACTCCTCCCCGTGCTGCTCACAGGGCGCCCAGATCCCCGGTCTCAGCCACGCAGAGAAGCATCACACAGACATCCCCAGATGGGGCAGCTTCAGGATGCAAATGCTTTTTATTGAAAGAAGCAGTGAGGAGGTTATCATGGGTGGTCCATATACTGTGGACCACACACCAAGGCCCTGGTACAAGCTTCACGCGGAGATGCTGGGTGGGAATGTCAGGAACCAGCTTGAGTTTTCCCATCAGGGTCAAGAGGAAGAACCCAGAGAGTAGGAACCACAAGCACAGGGCTGGCAGAGGGAGGGGTCATCTCTATCCAGCATCAGCTGGAGACGAACAAGAACAGTCAAAGTGGACAGGCATAAGCGGGTTCCCAGCACAGCCAATGATGATGAATGCCTTCCTGTTGATAGTCTGGTATTCAGGGGGGTGTCTGCTTTTCAAATTACACTCCGTGATGCTCATTTTCCTCTTACTCTCATAGCAGTTATTCTTTCCGTTTCTGCAGAAGTTTCTCTCATGGCAGACAGCCTGGATAGCCTCAAGGGACTCGTGCACAAAGGTGTTGAACGGCTTATTTAAAAGTTTCCGTTCCTGCATGATCTTGTTGCAGTAGTTGTCGGAGAAAGGGCCATCCCTGTGATCTATGTGATTTTTCTTGAACCTCTGGGCAGCAGGAGTCTGGGACCTCACCATCACCAGCGGTCCCAGAACCAGCAGGGAGAACAGGACGAGGGTCTTCAAAGCCATGGTGGCCTCGCTTCCCAGATCACAGGAGGCTGTGCAAGGAGAGAAGAAGAAAACCACCCCTTAGGAAAGGACCCCACTCCCACCCCTGTGGTCCCCATTACAGGTTCCCCTAGGTCAGCAGGACAGTCACCTCTTCCTGAGACCTGCCAAGTTTTCAGGTGCATATTCTCTTCTCAAGTGCATATCACGCTGCTGGCCAGAGGGAAACTTTGGTGGGTGATGCCAAAGTGACCCAACTCAGGCAGGCCTGTCTGTGCTACTGAGGTGCTGTGATGTGAAATACAGGTGTACCCAGGGCTCAGCTGCCTCCTTAGAGGACCCTGTCACACACATCCTGGCTGCCTTGACACTGAGGACCAGGCTGACGGGCCCTGCTGTCCCCTGCCCAAGGGACACTCTGCCCAGGCTGACGGGCCCTGCTGTCCCCTGCCCAAGGGACACTCTGCCCAGGGGCTGACACTGGCCTCAGGGAGACGCCGTGTGCTCCCCAGGGAGATACCTGCCTTTCCACCCCGGGGCAGCTCCTGTCCAACCCCACGGGGTCCCTTTGCAGCTGCCAGCTCTACCCGCCCGGCCCTGCCTGGCCCAAGCTGCCTCAGCGCTGGCCTCTCCCCTCCTGCTCTTCCTCTCCACCCTCAACAGAAGCAGCTCAGAGACCCCCAGTGGGCACTCACCTGGGCGTCTAGCTTGGTCTCTGGGAGAGAGAGGAGGCCAGTTTCTGCAACTCCAGGTCCCTGGGGTGCAGACTTATAGAGACTACAAAGGGGTGTGGCTTCAGGAATATGGGAGGAGCCTCACAGGAGCTCGCTAGTCCTCATCAGTCCAGAGAAAAGGGAGGATGCTCTGAGAAGGGGGACTTTGTCCAGGCTTCCCCCGGCTGGGAGAGGCCCCTCTTCCCATGTGGAGTCAGCTGTTTGCTGGTCACCACAATACCTGATGCCTCAACTCCAACTACTCCTGATTTCTGTTTGGAGGCGACTTGCAAGGAATGGCCCTTGGAGTTTAACAAGGGGCATGTGACCTGTGATCTCAGGGCAGGGAGGGTAGAAGCCCTCTCTCTGCCCAGCACCTGAGCTGCCTGGGCTGGAACCCACATCTGCCAGTAGTAGTTTTCCTGGAGACAGAGGGAATGGAAAGAGGGGTGTCCTGTTCCTAGTTAGAGAAGAAGAGTGGGGGACCTGCCCGAACCAGGAAGAGAAAGAAGCCTCTCTTTAACCTGTATCTTTAAAGAAGCCTCTGTTTAGTCATCCCTGTGCTGGCCACTTCCTGCCCACCTGCAACCCCACTCAGAGGCTTGAAAATGAGTATGTGGCAGGTTTATCTGCAGTGACAATTTGTCCTCTGGTTAAGGGTTATGTCAAGGAACTAAGGATAGAACAAACCCTAAATCCCTTTTGGAGAAAAAATAGACAGCATCATATATCTTCCAAATGAGGAAGAGTTTGTTTTATTTATTTATTTTTTTTACTTTCTACTAAGTGACAATTTAAATATTCCTGACATAAATATTATATATATATATATTCCTCCCCTCTCTGGGAATAATAGTCTCCATCTAAATTCTAATGTGGCACCCTAAAAACAGGACAAATTACAGAATTTATTCCCTCTTCCTCAGTTACTTCATCTCTATGATGGGCTTTTAGATTTGTGATTAGGACAAAATAAAGCAAAACACAGCAGCTACAGTAGTGCTAGAAAACATCATAAATTGAACTCTGAGTTGTTGAACTCTGTTAAAAATCTCCATGAGAAGTGGGTTGAAACAGCAGTGCCTCCCTTTCCTGGGGTGCAGTGGGTTGAAGCACAGCACTGTGAATCTGTCCAGGCTGCTTCAGCACAAGTTCGATTCCTGGCCAGAGAGTTGACCACAGGGCGCGGCAGACCTCTCCTGATGGTGAGCCCACTGCTCCCCTCAGCAGGGTACTTCGTCCATCAGCCTGTTCTGCTAACCACGTTGTACTGGTGAAGCCTCTCACAGCCCCTGCATCTCTGGTCTATACCCCAGTTCTGTATGCACAAATAAATAACTCTTACAAATGAACAAAATAACAGCAATGCCCTTGGTCTTGGAGATTCTGTCTACACTGGATGCAGCCTGGACACCACCACACTTCCTTTGCTGATAACCTGAGCTGTTACTACCAGGGACTTCTGATGCTCTGGGTAGAGGAGAGAGACCTGCTGGGAACAACAAGATGATTTCAATGGATTTTTTTTTTTTTAATTTTGAGGTGATACCCAAGAGATCGATGAAGTCAACATCACTTCTTATGTACTAATATTTGGACACTCCTGGGCCCAGGACCGCTAGGGTATGAGCTTTATAAAAGACCCAAGAGCAAGGATTCCCCATCAGAAGCACAGACCAGGCCATGATACGACCCAGGACTGGAGGATAACACAGCAATGACAGCCGCATCTCCTCAGCTGTTTGCTCTGCTGGCCCTGGGCATCAGACCTGTTAGTTCTGTGGTGTCATATAAGGTGTTTAGCATTCACTGGGAGGGAAGAGGTGGACTGGGGGAAGGGGATCTGGGCAGGCTTCACAGCAAAGACTATGTTGGGAGGGGCTGTTAATGATAAATAATTTTTCATCAAGGAGTAGAGAGGACAATTCAGACCTCTCCTGTTTTGCCACAGCTCCCCTCAGCAGTGGATGTCAGTAAATCCCCCTGGTTTCCTCCTGCTTTGTCTCAGGTGACTCTGACCGATACCAAACACCGCCTCCGTTTCCAAACTCAATAAATGGAAACAAGTCTAGGAAAAGCAAAGTGGTTGAATTTCTTGACAGAAGAGGAGGCAGCAGACTCCTGTCTGAAAGACCATGTCCTGCTGTTTGCAGGGTGCGGGGTTATTTATACATGGGCAGGGGGAAAGGGGGTTGGAAGGGTCTGCAAAGCAGAGGGGGAGGATGTCTGCAGGAGACAGGTGGGCACCAGCTTGCTTTATCCACAACTGATGTTTAAGTCCCTTTCCTTAGAAAGCAAGAAGACAACCCCGTGAAACCAGGGGAAATTACAAGAAATGGGGGAGGCAAACCTGCTACTGCTTCTCTGAGGGTCCTGTCATCCGTAATTGCATCATGGTCACCCCCTCAGGCCTAAGCCCCAGTTCTAGGCAGAAAATACATAAGTACACAAATAAGAAAATTTAGACTAAAAGTAGACAATTTAACAATGGAGAGATTCCCATGAGATAACAGTCCTTATATGTTCGTGTCCAAACAAGGTTTTCGAGTCTTATCAGACACCTCAGTAAACACCCAGAACACAAGAAATTCCTCCTGCTCCAGCCTCGGTGACTCATCAACGCCTGGACTCCACTCGGCTTCCCAAGCACAGTCGCTGGCAGAGTGACCAGCCCACGTGTTGGGGTGATGCTCAGCCCCACAGCAGCCCCCCACCGCCCTGGAGACCGCCAGCCCGGGGGAACCAGGGGTGGCAGTTGAGCCTCTCAAGGAGGCAGCGCTGAGAAGCGGCTGTGGGAAAGGGGTAAAGGAGCTGCAGAGGGAGCCAGCCTCCCTCTGCCTGAGCACACGCGGCCACACAGCACTGGCAGCTGCCTGAGGTTCCAGCCCCGTGAAGACGCCCTGA